CCACGCCTGGGCGGGGTACCCGCCCCGAAGGAGTGGGTTCGAGGCCGGCCACCGACGGGTCCGCTCACAGCCAAGGGAAAATGTCCTCTTGTAGTGACACCATTCCACATTACCCCAAACATCGTCCTCTCGTCCCCCTCACACAGCCCTGGGCGCTAACAAGCCCCAGATCAGCCCTTGGGAAGGGAAAGGAAAAGGAGCGGCGCAGAGGTGGGCTTCAGTAGTTTTTATTTCTCTATTTTCCATACACGTACCAGGTGACCGATCATCTGTCACGATTTACAAGTAACACCGTACGACCATGCACAAGCAGGGTGGTTGGATTTTTTTTTTTTTAACAGATTATGTCTTCTAGCCTCCACAAGACCTCAACGAAGCAGCCACGTCACTGCTAGATATGTAATTCTAAGGGGCAAAGTCTTCTCACCAACACTGAAGATATTTTTCTGCTCTATTCCTGCATGTGATGACTCCTTGGTGGGAAGGACACAGCTGTTTCACCACCTGCCCTCAGGCCTTAGTTCTTCTGGTAGTAGAACCACTTGTCAACTGCGTGGGGTAGAAAAAAACAGAGGGGGGTTAGTCCTGCGTTAGTCACCCACTTATTAAATAGTCACAGCGCACTGCAGGGGCTTCCTCCGTCTCCCGTAAACAACTCCGCCACATGGCCAACGGGTTCTTGCGCAGCCCCACGTACGTGTGTTTGTTTTACTGATGAAGTCACCCTCGCTCAGTCTACACATGACTGGGTGCAGGCAAGGACAGTGAGGCAGAGCCAGCTCAGCCTCCCTCCGGCTCTGCTGACTCAGGCAGGCACAGTCATTCGGCCTCCACCTCCCATGCCTGCACAGAGGACACCAATTTCTTCACAGGTTTATAACCCATGAAGAGATGGGAAATGACAGCCTGGCTCCTCTTTCTGACACACAGCTGGGGCCTCTCAACACCATCACCAACTTGCCCCAGGGGTCTTGTTCCTGCTACAGCAACATCCAGATTTTGTGGGTGAGGTGCCCACCACAACCTCGTGCAGAAGGAAAAGACAACAGCCAAGCAAGGATTCGTCCCACAGACGATGTTTTTTTACAGGATTTGGGTCCTGAGGCATTGAAAGGCTCATTACCAGCTTGCACTGGACACTTGTTCAGCAACAGATCTCTGATCAGCGGGTTCAGCTGCAACTAAAGTACTGAAAGCGCAGCTAGTGTCTGCCTCTGCTCTGCGCGGGCAGGGAGTAGTTCCCTCCCTCTGCTCACCAGCACTGAGGGCGCTGACGAAACCCCTGTTTCACAGGAACTCATTAAACCGCTCTCCCGCTACCCCTGCACCTCAGTCCTCTGCAGTGCTCTTCTTTCAGGACCTGCCATAAATCTCATCTCTTCTGGAGCAAACTATGGCACATCGCGTCTCATACTTACCACTCATGTACCCACTTCCTGTACCCAGACAAGGACGTAAGGCGAAGTTACAGAAGTTATTCGGGAATTAAACAGCATGACCGACACAAGTCAGGTCCAACAAGGTCTTGGTTCCTCCTAGCACTAGAGCCATACTTAGCTATCAGTTGAGACTCTCACTTTCCTATTAACCACACTGTTGAGAAAGCCTCTTTCTGCATTGGAACGGAAATGTGGGGTTTGAGACTTACCTTCAGGTGGGATGGGGTTGGCAGCTTTACATGGTGGTGTCTGAAAAAAAAGAAGGGCATTAGCAGACAGCAACTGCTGGCAGAGGTTGACCTGATACCTGAAGCTCACTAGACATTGTTATTGCTGCACAATTTAAGATCTCAGCAGTGTAAACTGGTCTGTGGCAGCCAGTGCCGGTCAGCCGTGAGGGAATAAACGAGCTCACGTGCAGTGTCCCGTCACCCCCACAGCCTCCTCATTCCGTACATGTCCCACGTGCCAGAGGTGCTCTGCTCTCTGCACAGGCTGCAGTGCCATCTGCTCCTCCCCACGAGCAGTTACCGCTCCAGCATCTATACAGTTGCAGGCAGCCTGCTTTTCTTAAACCCACAAGGCGATAGTGGAGTAGAAGCACAAAGGACTCTTGAAAACTTCTCTGAAAAGCTTTCATCTGATATTTAACAACCAAAGACAGAGAAGGGTCCCTGGCTGCTGACACATCCTCCACAAGGTTTGCACTTTCAAAAACTTACAAACTAATTTGGATGCCACCAAAGAATACAAGCACTTTTAAAACTAAGGCAATGGTTTTAAAAGTCTCTCCAAGACTGCAGAGAGACTCTGGTTTCCAGACACAATTCCATACACTGAAGCAACATTTGCATTTTGATTTTTTCTGTCCCATTCCTCTAACCCCTTTCAAGTTACCAACAGCAGTAGTTCACAAGCCTCGGGAGATGCAGTCACATCCTGAAACTGGATAGACGTTCTACACTGGGAACTTCAACCTTTTCACTGTAAAGGACACAAGGTCCCTGGTTGCAAGGCTCTCGGGGAATTAGACTTTCTTTTCTTAACGGGTGACCTGTACTGTGAAGCCCTTGGGACGCCAAATATTTAAACACCCTCTGACCGGCTGACAGCCAGGCTATAGTTCAGAAGTTTAGCTCCTCACGCAAACTCTGCTTTGGATTCTATCTCACAGATGACTAAGGGCAAGGAGAAGCCTCTGGAAGAATGTCTGGCTTGCTCCACATCCACCCTATATAACCAGGAACAGGTGCTGCATTCAGTCACCCAAAAAATTCTGAGCATACAATGCGCTGTTCTCACGGAGAGGACAGTTTATAATACCACACAAATCGTATAATTTTGCTCAATGCTAACGTTGGGCTTAGGACACTCAAATTTGTACTTACCACAGCCACAGTAGCTTTTGCACACTCTTGACTACAGCAGAAAGGGCTGTCGGACACCGTCAGATTTGTGCTAGAAGAGACAGGTCGCTTGTGAGAACACAAAAGCCAAGTCTCTCCCCCAAGAGTGTGAAATAACGGAATACTAAGAATCACCGTTATCACTGCCAAGTGGAAGGGGAAGGCCTGCGGGGACAGCCAGCAGCTCACAGAAAGCGTGGCACCACACAGGAAAGAAAGTTTCAGGGTTATTTGTTTAGGGGAAAGGCAAGTGCAGTAATACAGGCATTAACCTACCAGTTGATCTCCCCTCCGTCAGTTTTCTTTGCTATTAAAGCTTTCCAGTGTTCATGAGTGCTTTTGATGACGTTCACAGCAAAATCCTGAAGTTGAAGATGAGAACAAACATCACGTTATGTGTAAGCACCAGACCATCTTCTCCAGACTACTGGATTTTAGATAGTTTCCAATTCCGGAAGGGACTCAAAGAGACCTCTTCCATTACTGCGCCTTTCAGGAACACCAGCAACCTCCCAGCTCATGGCAGCTGAAACAACAGGGACTTTTTAATACCAATCGTTTTACTTTCAAGATGGGAGGATACAGCAAGGCCACCTAGAGAGCTTGTGGCCAAAAGAAACTGTCTCAGGACAGTGCTATGTTATAAAAGCACCTCCACCCCACTGCTCCTCCCACTTGGTTTGTCTCCAGCAGCTAGCTGATCCTGACCTATCTGTGAGCTTTCTCCCACTCCAGGCAAATCGTTCTGCTGCTGTGCAGACTGACATAAAGAGACACACACCTCATCTAGTTTTGCAACTATTTAAAAATTAATCTGCTTCCAACCATATCCAAGCTTTTTTCCTTTAAAAAAAAAAAAAAAGTAGTATATGCTCAAGCATTAACCTATCGGCTGGAGAAGGAAGCACACACAATTCTCTGTTAGCATGAACACCAGCAATAAATATCCTGGTTTGATACCACTCAGAGCCAAATAAAACACTGCAGGAACATGCGTGAGGTTCTTTGTCCCTATTTTCCACCTTGGCTTTGATTCTGGTTTCACCCATCCTGCAGGGCAGTGAGGCGTCCGAGCCCACCTAGCCTAGCGCTGCACTACAGCCAAAGGGGACAAGCCCACTCCCATGCAACTTCCATTTTAGCCCCCCTTACCCTTTCCTTCCCACACCAAGCTTTGCAGCCCCGCAAAAAAAAACCCCCTTCTCTGCACCAACTCTGGAGCTCTGGGAGTTAAGTCACTTGGTTAACCCACTCAAGGCACTCCAGGACTGGCAGGAGGGAGGCTGCAGAAGCAGGATTCCACCCACTCAGGAGCAGCAAGTTATTTGACTTAACAAAGAGAAGAGGCAGAGGAATAATGCTGCCAAGGTGGAGCCTTACTCAAAGGGTGTGAGGGAACACTTTATGCCTGAAGGAAGAAGCGTTTTAACTCCTGAGTTAACTTCAACTTGCACCAGCCTGCAGTGGAACAAAGCCAGCCAGCAAGGGAGGTGAAGGGTGATGTCAAGCACCCTTTCCTCCAGAACAGGAGCAAATAAACCCAGTGTTTTCCATCCTGGTCCTGACATGGAGGCTCCCAGGACTGAAGTAATCCTGCATGAATGTCACCTAGAAGAAAGACTAATATGCACCAGCAGCCAGGCGATAACCCTACACTTTTTCTCCCAGTATTCCTGCAAGCATCGGGCTGGAAACAAGCAGAATGGTGGTCTGGAAAAACCAGCGGGAAGAATCAAGTCAGCTATCAGCAGCCCCATAAAAATCCACTGTTTCAGCAACTACTCATTCACGTCCCTGCGCACCTTGAGCTCAGTTCTTGGACAATGCGCTTTTGCATGCTCACAGTAATGAAAAAAGGTGATCGTACCTTGTCTTTAAATTCCCCATTAAAAGCAAACTGGTTTTCTGGCTTTCCATCAGGTACTTTGTATCTTCTGAACCAGTCCACTGTAGCTTCTAAGTATCCAGGTTTCAACCTCCTGACATCATTGATGTCTAGCCATGGAGAAAAGGCTTATTAGCCCGAGATCTAGTAACAGAAGTTACTTCACTACCACTCTGCCCCTCTGAGCTGCCCCTCTTCCAGACCCTCCTCAAGTAGCCTTATCAATATTTCAGACAAGTTACAGTAAGGACACGAAGTGGCTATCTGCAGAGGGAAGTTAGTGTTTCGTCTTCACAGCAAATACTGATTGCCCCCAGGAGCATGGACACATTTCAACAGCTTTGAGTAGAGACTTACTGGAGAACACCTTCCCTTCCACTCAGGGGATAGGCTGTACAGCCACCCTCTTCTTCGAGGTGCCAGGCTGTGCAGAGGACTGGCAGTTTGGGATAAACAGCAGCAAAATGTTTTGCTGTAGCATTGATAACATCCTATTCTGCAGTCCTTGCAGCATCACATCTGACAAATACCACTGCATAGAAGGAGGAAGCCCATGTCCTGATTTGAAAGTTTCCTGCAGGCTCTCAAAAGAGAAAAGGAAGGACTAAGCCTGCTCCTCCCTCCTGTTACTCACCATTATAGTTGTCTGCTTCAGGGTCTTCAATGTTGATAGCAATTATCTTCCAGTCTGTCTCTCCCTCATCGATCAGTGCCAGTGTGCCTAGCACCTTCACTTTGATGACTTCTCCTCCAGAGCAGATCTGCAAGGACAAAGACCTTACTGTCTGTACCGATGCATCCAAGGAATGCACAACAGGAGGCTGCGCAAGCTGTGAGAGTTCAGCAAGCAGTACCACAAAGTCAGCTGTCACTTATCGGCGGTTCGTGAGCCCTGGCTCACAAGGCTTACGCTGTTAAGATCTCATCAACAATCTCCAGAGGCAGCAGAAGGAAACATCACATTCTTAAGGTAGAGGAGCTAGGAAGTGAATAATATATTTGGATAGCTGACTTCAGAGACATTAATTACACGTTTCAAAAGACAGTTACCCTTTAGAAGGCATTACCTTGCTTCCAATTTCGCACACATCAATCGGATCGTTATCTCCGCAG